AAAGGCTTACCAAAGTAACAAAGAGGGGAAAAAGAAAGACTACTTCGAGAACAATCGAACAAGAAAACAACGAAACAGAAAATAGTTGATCAACACATATCCTGCATCCAGTTTTACATTAGCAAAGTAACAAAGAGGGGGACTTCTCGGAAAACAATCGAACAAGAAAACAACGAAACAGAAAAATAGTTGATCAACACATATCCTGCATCCAGTTTTACATTAGCAATGTAACAAAGAGGGGGACTTCTCGGAGAACAATCGAACAAGAAAACAACGAAACAGAAAATTGTTGATCATCACATATCCTGCATCCAGTTTGACATTTGTATGCAAATAACAATCAAGAAAGTTTTACATTAGCAAAAAACAAAGCAGAGTGACTGTATATCACTTACGAAAGTAACCAAAGTCCGAAATCGTGGCGTGGTTGATAACGTCTTGGAGCCAAATTAATAGCTAATTCAAATTCCGCCATTGCTTCCGGATATCGCATCAGACCAATCAACGCACCAGCTCTATTACAATGTAATTTACAATCGTCCGGAGTAATTGCAATAGCTTCTTCATAATATCTCAAAGCTTCATTATAATCTCTATTCACCAAACAATTATTCCCTATCTTATTCAACACTGCCGGACTCAACTGCTCCGGATAAACAGTAGCAGAACTACTTGAACTGTAACCAGATACCGATGCCGATCCTCCCCCATCTCTACATTCCTCATCAGCTGTAGACCTACCACCCGCCCTCTTTCTTCTAGAACCCGACATTGCAATAAGTAAATCAATCGACGAAAATGGGGAAAAACAGAATTTCTCTAAAACCCCATTAATCTCCTCTTCTACTAGAATGTGATTTTTGAACAATGTAGAGCTTCAATCTTGAACTGAGTTTTTCTGTAATCGAAAAATTGACTGAAACAGCTTACAATGTTAGAGAATTCAAAACTGTAAAGCAATCATCAACAAGAAAATGGGGTTCTCGTGATTTCAATGGTGGAAACAAAGAATGAATGTGAGCTTTTTCTAGAGAGAGAAACAAGCCATTTACAGAGAGCTTGTTGTTGAAGACGAAGAAGAAGAAAGAAGAAAGAAGAAATGAAGAAGAAAATAAGTCTTTTATTACGGAGCTTTGTAAAAGTTGAATTACCATTTCGCCCCCAGTTGTTAATAAAATTCGATTGAATATAAATATTTTAATTACGTAATGGTACAATTGAGGTTCATTAAATTATCATTTTCTTATAAATGATTATATTGACATTGTTTTAAATCGTAATCGTAAATCTCATAATTGAAGAATTTGAAAAGGTCCGATATTAAAGGTCATTCATTACTTTAACGTAGAAATCAATTTCATAAATCATTTCTTAATTTTATTTACAAAAATGGAAACTCACAATAGGAAATCGAATTTATGAAAATTGCACAATTCAACATGAGAAGATAAGAGAGTTAGAATTTGCGCGTGACGATAACAAAAAAAATAATGAAAATTGATAATCAAGAAAGAAAACATAGCAGCGGAAAAAAGAGAGTAAATTTGATATACATTGAACAGTTTTATATTGATATGTTGTCGCTAACAATAACAAATTATTTTTTTTAGCATAATACATATATTAGACTTTAAATTTGACTTCAAAATTTAACTTTAACCTCAAACTTTCAAAATGCACAAATAGTCACTTTAACTATCCTATCTTTCAACAAATAAACACGCGATTTTCGAAGTCAAAGTGCGTGGAGTGCAAACACTCCCACGTGTATTAATGAGTCAATCAGTGGCTGTCAACTAATTACACATTTTACACGTCTTTTTAAAAAAAAATATATATTTTACACATCATTTAGAAACTAAAAAAAATTATAAAAGAGATTCATTAAGGATAGAATTGTCATTTCAGCATTTTTTTTAACCATTGTGGGCCTCGAAAATTACCCCTCACTCGCTCAGAATGCGTGCATTTCACACATTTTGTCAGGTAGGACTCGCATTTTTATTTATTGTAAGATATGATAGTTAAAGTGTTTATTTGTGCACTATGAAAGTTTTAAATAAAAATTAAAATTTGAAGGCAAGTTTAGGATCCAATATATGTATTATGTGGGATTATTCCCACCAAATTATTGCTTCCCAAATCTATAGTTATTAGTGTTTTCAGACTGCTGATAGTTTAGAAAGGTGAGAGATTTCAAAAGGGATAAGACCTGTAAAACTTGAAATCAGACAAAACAAGATGCGTCAAATTTGAAAACTCACCAAATTTAGGTGAAATGAGCGATCCAGTGAAATCATTATTCGACAAATCAAGCCTTTTTAGATTGGAGAGTTGAAAGAGGCTACTATTGGAATGTAGCATGCCTCGAAGTTCGCTGCAACGGAGGTTAAGCGCAATCACTTGTCCTGTCATCTCGTCGCAATGAACTCCATCCCGTGAGCAACAATCCGTGCTCTTGTTCCATAAAGGAGTCCTTGGATATGACTGAATCTCTATGCCTGTACTTATGTTGTAAAAATAATCGGAAGCATTAGGATTAATGGTAAACATGTTCTTGAATTGTAGAAGACCAAGAGCTTGATCAAATGCACACTTTCAAAACTATTAACTCTCAAATGAGCTTCCGCTTGTTGGAATCGTGTATCATCAAAAATCTATGGAATGTAACACACGAAAATTGGCATATTTGGTTTTTCCTGTATTGAAGCTCGTTTGAACTTGAAAATGCGTATTTTTGCTCCTCGAGACCAAATCACGCCATTAATAAGGTTGTAATGGACGTCCATAAAAATTTTGCCAAAAAATAACAGGGATGATGTATCACCAAAAATCCATGGACTAAAATGAAAATTGTAAATTTGGTTTTTTCGCTTTGGGCTCGTTTAAACTTAAAATGCATTCTTTTTCCCCTTGGAAACAACTCATGTCGTTAATAAGGTCGTAATATACATCCATAAAAAATCCGGGTCAAAAATTAGTGGGATCACATATCATAAAAAATTCATGGACTATAACACAAAAAATAGGTAACTTTGATTTTTAGCGTTTTGAGGCTCATTTGAACTTGAAAATGCATCTTTTTGCTCTTCGGGGCCAACTCACACCATTAATAAAATTGTAATGGACTTCCATGAAAATTTTTAGCCAAAAATAAGTTGTGATGATGTATCCCCGAAAATCTATGGACTATAGCAAACAAAAATGGTAATTTAAATTTTTTCAACGCCTTCGTTTAAACTTGAAATACATTTGATTTCCCCTCATGACCAACTCACGTCATTAATAAGGTCGTAACTGACGTTCATGATAAATTTTGGCCAAATAAAGTCGGGATCACGTATCATCAAATTCATGGACTATACACAAATAATCGATAACTTTGATTTTTTCCGTATTACTTATTTGAACTTGAAAATGCGTCTGTTTACCTCTCAGAAACAATACACGCCATTCAATGATCTTAATAGACGTCTATGAAAATTTTTCAAAAATTGATATATTTAGTTTATCCTGCATTGTGGCTTGTTTGAACTTGAAAATATGTGTTTGCCCCTCCGGACCAACTCACACCATTAATCGCATCGCAACAGACTTTCATGAAAAATTTTGGGCAAAAAAATGCGGAATTCTGTATGACAAAAAATTCATGGGACTATTAAGCATAAGAACATTGGTAAATTTAGTTTTTCCCGCATTTGAACTCGTTTGAACTTGAAATTAATCTATTTAACACTCGGGACCAACTCACGCCAGTAATTAGGTCATTACAAACGTCCATGAAAAGTTTTGATCAAAACCAAGTCGGGGTCACGTATCACTAAAAAATCATTGACTATATTCACAGACCAAACTCAAGAGAGTTGCAAATTGAAAAAATCTCCTTTACTATCAAAGTTCCGATCGCCTTGTGCAACAATGGTACAACAACAACTATGTCTCAATCCCGAGCAAGTTGAATTCGGCTATATGAATCATCTATCAGTATCAATGTCACTCTATTTAAGTTTTGTGCAACATCAATATTATACTTCTTATATCTATATATCTCATGAATGACTGGCTTACAAAATGCACATGTGACTTCCAGTTGATCGATCAAGACCATCAATCATCTTCTGATGGTAGAGTTGGACTCTTTGAGCAGACATCGTTTGCATGGAGTTCCAACATTTTCTTCTCGGGATTACACAGACCTAGAGGATAAAATGAATAAAACGCGGTTTGTTAGATAGTTGAAAAGAACCAAGGAGAAATGTTGTCAGTGTCTGAAATATTATCAATGGCATCTAGCTGGTTCAATGGAGCGTTAGTAATCGCACTTGATACCATTAACCATACTCAACGAATTTGGAGCATCTCAGACGATTCATAGAGATCAATGATGAAAAAAGAAACAACTGTGGAAATGCATTAACAAATAACTAGGCAGTGTATTTGTTAGGCTTGGAACATAATCACGTCACAAGATTGTTACCCTTACCATCACTAATATATTTCATAAGCTAATAATAAAAAAGGGCAGCCAGGTGCATTAAGCTCTTGCTATGCACGGGGTCTGAGGAAGGCCGGACCACAAGGGTCAATAGTTCACAGTCTTACCCTGCATTTCTGCAAGAGGCTGTTTCCACAGCTCGAAGACTCCTCTTCAACTTCACCATAAGCTAATAACGCATGCTGGACATTTTTTCCTAGCAATATGTGCAATGAACCACGTGTAGGAAATACACATGAAATCAAACAATTTTTCATCCGCAAGCAAAAACACTATTTTCTATTTCGTCAACACAAATTTACACACCACGAGAGCACCTATGAGTGTTGCTCTTAATGAAAAACTGAGGGACAGACCTGAACACTTTGGAATATCCCACACAGCAATAGATGATTCTGTACACTCTGGTTGACATAGTTGCTTATTATTCTCATGATCGACATTCATTGCAAGCATCCAGGCTCCAATGGTAACATCCTCATTGCTAAACATTCGGAAACTGAGAATTCACAGAAAAAGGAGAGAACTAATGAGCTTTCACTCCTTCGACTTCAAAAGAAACAGACACAAAAGGCTCAATAAAATACAGAAAATGAATCCCAGAAACACTGTGACGTGAAGCAAAATTTAAAGACTGTAATGTGAAAGGATATAGCCAGCTTTTTACCATAAAGATCTTGTGTTTAGTCTAGACTTTTAATCTTCCAAATGCCAATAGACGTTATCAACTTGAAGAATTATAAGAGCAATTTCTAGTTGCTGAAATCTACTGAAAAATGTCTTTATCTATGATAATTCTAGTTTTACATAAAAATCATCTCATCATGTCAAAGAAGTTGCCAACACATCCTCCTTTTTCCTTGTATATTAACAATGATCGACTTCCAATTAGTAACCTTAGCTTAGATGAAACAAGCTACTCCATTAGTCACATCATTTAAAATTTTGTATACTCAGACTGTTGCCTTATGATCAGAACGCATTCTAACTACAGCAACTTGAAGTTTCATGTTACCTGCACGGCAAGCTAATTTCAAGACCTACTTACTCAACAAGGACAGAAAATAATAACCATTACTCAAGTTGGAGAAAAACAGAAGCAGCATTACATGAATAGTTAGCAGATGTTCTTGAATTAAGTCTTACATCATTCACAACAAACACTTCCACCTAACTGTTATAGAACATACGCACTTTGTAGGGTGGCAAATAAATCACTTCAGAACAGATGAGAGACATAAATATTTAATAAAAGCACACACTTGCCTGTTGTTCCTCAGGGCAACCAAACTTGCAACAACATCAGCAGAAAGAGCATAAATAGGACCATAAGCATGCAGAAAATACTCCTTCCCCAGAATAGATGAAAGTGGTTCATACCTGTAGCAGTTGAACAGATTCAATGAGACAATACTGAAGATAAGAACAACAATAATCCTGTAATTGAAAGGACAATTTTTCTTCACATTTAGTCATTGATATGCATTTATCTACATGTTCTTTTCCTCAACATTATCACTAGCTTCATGGCATATATAAACAAGCATAAGCTGCTAATGATCATTCTTTTGGTTGGTTGCTAATGACCATTGTGTTCTCAAAATAAA